GCAATCCAAAAAAATCCATAATTTACTAAAACAAACCTTTATTCGTGTTGTTTTGGGCGTTATGGGGGTGGAATTTTTGTTTTTTTATGGGGAAAAACCCCCCCCCCCCCCCCCCCCCAAAAAAAAAAACCTAAATTTGGAGACATGCAGATGTATGGAAGATTGGAGGTGTCTGGTTACAATCCAACGTGTCGCGTATGACTCTTCTATAATAGAAACAACAGCGGTTAGATTGAACACGCTCACAATATAGATCTCGTCAAATAAATCAAGAAGAGAAACAGTCCCTATTGTCCAGTGCACATATCTCAATGCCCCCATATGGTGTCTTTGCATAAGACAGGAGAAAGCACTACCTCCCACCACATCCACATAGATACTTACATAAGTACAAGAAGAGGCCAAAAATTTGTGACTAGCTAGTTCCATACATGACTTGCTGATGCGAGGTCACTGAATAATAGTACTGTCGGGAGAAAGAATCAGGGCATCGCTTCCGTTGAGGCGAATCCGGGGGCTCATTCACTCACCGCCTTTGCCTCTGCGCCGCATTTACTACTAGGGTAACTCATCGTGGCAGCAAGTTCCCTGGTAATAGGTAGCCATGGGTTATCATTGTGCATGTCTGCTGTCCTTGTTCGCTGCAAGTCAAAAATGCACTATAATCAATTAAACTGCGTCACGTCACCAAATGCAGGTCTAAATCTGGATATGAGATTCACGAGCCGGGACACAGAATTGACGAGAAAGAGGGATAAGGGAGAAGGAGAAGAGTAGAAAAGGGCGGATTCAATCATTGTCGCAAACGTGTTACCAGAATGATTACCCCGCCACAGTCACACTGACATTTAAATGAATGATGTGAACCGAGGGGAGGATCTGGATCTGGGAGGAGGAGGAACATTCTGGCGTTGTAGGTATTCCCCGCCATATGCACAGTGCGTATAAACAGTGCGTCCGCTGGTCCACATGGAGGCAGAGTCTGGCAGAGGCAAGATTGTTCCCTTGCCTCTCTTGTGCATACACCCTTCAACCAATGAAATACGTGTATTGCTGTAGCCTGGATCCATTGTAGGGCAATCACAGCAAGTTTATAAAGTGCTTGGACACTGTATAGCACTAGGCACCCACTACAAGGTAGGTAATGTTCCAGTAACTACATATGTACGTAGGTAGGTGGATAATCTAGATACCTACAGATGCCACGTTCTAATTCTAAATCTATTTTCCTTATGGGGATATTGAATTTCGATATCTCTACCTGAGAAGTACCGGGAAATACCCGGTCAGTCATGTCGGTACCTAGAGTTTAGGATGTAGATACCTACTATAAATAAGTACATGGATGTGCGGTGTAATGGAGTGCGTACCTAGTCTCAGCCTCTCAAAGTACATTGTAACCTACGCCAGATAAAATACAGTATATGCCACCCACTGTTACCCACTGTCCCTCCCTACAGTCTGGTGCCTGTAGCCTGCTAAGACGCAGCCGAAACCCTTTAATTAATCCGCCTGCAATTCAACTCAGTCTGTTCTGTAGGTACCTATTTCAGGACCCAAAACAACCTTAGAACCTTGCTTGAACCTGCAGGCCTGCCTACCTACAAAGTAAGTAACCAAGCAGAACCAAGCAACTGCACACATCCAAACCATTACAACATCGATACACCCATCTCCGCCAGCCTACATTTGAAGTCTTTCCGCTCTTTTCTCCCTCATAGCCAGTCAGCCAGCCAGCCAGCCAGCCAGCAGCATATCTCGGCTTTCCTCCTGCCTGCGCTTCAGACACCGCCAGGGCATTGTCTATCCGCTCGTTCACTGGCTCACAGCCTCTATCCCTCGCCAACCCCCCCACCAAAAAAAAAAACCCAATACCTTACCACCACCACCACCACCACCGCCAACCAGCATCCACCGCACCGCACCGACATCCGCTTCACCTATAATATAACCACGCCCATAGCACCACCACATATCACCCACATCGCCGGTTACCACAGCTGTCCTCGCCGCCGAAGCAGCTAGTCACCGTGGCGACCTAGTCTTCTCCTGCCAACCGGAGCTGCCTGGGCAGCTCGCCGTCAAGACGTCTTCCTCAAAGAAAAGGAAGATTACACCCCGGCAGTCTGCTGCAGGAAATGAGGAAATAGATCCCACCAACTCGCCCGATATCCCCGTCCAGTCCTGCGAGCAAGACGCCGATCTCAACTTCTCCTTCACCTCGTCATCCTTTGACGTGCGGCCCGCCTCGCCCGCCTCGCCCGCCTACCTCCGCGCCGACTCACTACCCCCGGCCTCCAGTCTCCCGCCCCGGTTACAGACGAACCATTCCGGCCCTCTCCCCCTCGCCGAAGACGGCTCATCTGTCGCAAGTTCACCTTCAGGCGCCTACGCCGACCTGACCATCAACAGCGACCGTGGCGCCGATACTCCAGCACCCGATTTTCCCAACTATCCCAGGGCTTCTTCGCCCCTAACCAAGACTACCCATCATCGTGCTCTCATGGGTGGTGCCGCCGAATTTCCAGAGCGTGCATCTTCACCGCTCAAACGAAGTGCCTCCAGCATGGATCCAGAAGGGGTGACGCAGAGCGTCGATGAGGACGTGGATATGGTCACTGTACCCCCTGATGCAACTGCCATAGATACACCTTCTTCGTCACATCAAAATGCGTCAAACACGGCCGATGCTTCAGAGTCTACAGCCAGTTTGCAGCAGGGTATGCAGCCTACCGTAGAAGGAGATGCCTCGACCACCATGAACAATACAAGTTCGTGCACTTCCACAAGTTAATTCCCTTTTTTCTCTTCGAGCTCAGCCTACTGACTTCCCCTAGTATTACAACCTCCGGCATCCATCGGGGCCCATATAAACGAGATTCGCGCACTGGTAGAGGAGTTCAACCGAACACCTTGTATGGATGGGCAAGAATGTTATATTGTATCAAGACAGTGGCTCACATATGTGCCCCTTGATTCGACGAAAAAGCAAGCAGGGGGCGACTTGTCCGCCATCCCTCCGGTTGACAACTCGGACATAATAGAGGAGATCATCGACGATCCTTGTGTTGGCACAGGTATCACGGATGTTATGAAGAGAAAGTTTGTTCGATTGAAGGAAGGCTATGGGGAAGAGCACTTTGTTCCATTTCCTCCTAGGGCTTGGGAACTTCTGATGCAATGGCCTGGACTAAACGAAGGACAAATTCCTATCCGACGTACCGCCACTGATAACAGTACCAGCCGGGATGGAACAAACGTTCAAATTGAATACCACCCACTTGTGCTCAGTGTACATCGTCTCTGGTCCGCAATGAGTCAGGTTCCCGTTGATGCATCTTTAAAATCCATCAACCCACCTCCTCCCAGGCTCGCTCGTAGCAGCAATACGAAGTTCCAAACTTTTCTGAAACAAGCGAAAGCCATGGTTAAAATAGATTTGACACAAAGAGTTCGAGGATGGCAGATTCCAAATGCTGTAGACCCTCGTCGCTCGGGCGCAGGTGTGCCAACTCCACCTACCCCTCCAGCCCAGTCCGACTCTGACATGAATTCAGAAAGCGTATGGGATCGTCTGCTTGTGGATGTTGAGTCTTTCAATGCATTGGAAAGAGGTGGAGAAAGACTATTGATTGAATTTGGAGATTTGACGAATGGGGGTAAAAAACAGGAATCCAACCACACCCTCCGTTCACTCGGTATTGCCAAAGATCAGTCTATTGTTCTTGATCCTCATGAAGAGGGTACTCAGTGGACTTCAAATTACCGACCATCAGAGACATCCATGCTCCCTTCACAGACCGGCTCTACGGCCTTGACGGTTCAAAACCACGTATCCCGGGGTGGACGGTTAAGTCCAGCCCCTAGTGGTCCCGTCACTCGTGGTAGAGCGACAAAGTCTGGGAAAACGCTAGGATGCGTCGGTCTCACGAATCTAGGGAATACTTGTTACATGAATGCTGCCCTTCAGTGTTTAAGAAGCGTCGAGGAGTTGACCAAATACTTCTTAGTTGGTGAATGGGAAAAGGAATTAAATAAAGCCAACGTCCTTGCCCACAACGGCGATGTTGCTGCTGCGTATGCTCATCTACTCAAGGAAGTGTTCAAAGACCCGCCTCCAGGTGCTGTTGCGCCACGGCAGTTCAAGAACGTTATCGGTCGTCATGCATCTCAGTTCTCAGGTTATGGTCAGCAGGATTCCCAGGAATTCCTCGGCTTCCTGCTTGATGGCTTGCAAGAAGATCTCAGCCGTGTCAAGAATAAGCCTTATATCGAGAAGCCAGATTCCACAGATGAAATGATTGGTGATCCCGACGCTATTCGAAAGATGGCTGACAAGGTCTGGGATATTACGAGAAAGCGTGATGACTCGATAATTGCGGACCTCTTCACAGGCCTTTACAAGTCGACCTTAGTTTGCCCTGTGTGCGACAAGGTCAGCATTACCTTTGACCCTTTCAACAATCTGACCTTGCAGTTGCCAATTGCAAATAAATGGAGTCATACTGTTAAATTTTTCCCGCTCAACGATAAGCCCATTGACATCAAGGTTGAGCTGGACAAACATGACAATATTAAAGCTTTGAAGCAATTTATTTCAGTGCGAACAGGTGTTCCCGTTGAACGACTTCATGGGTGTGAGGAATGGACCAAGAAAATCTACAAGCATTATGAGGATACAATGACTGCTAGCGAAGAGATTTCTCAACGCGACAATGCATGGATATACGAACTGGAAGCTAAGCCCACGAACTACCCTGGGACGGCACACAAGCCGCAGAAGTACCGTTCTCTACTCGATGACACTCCACCTGTTCCATCAGATGACGATGACACAGCAGCAGCACATCTCCTTGTTCCAGTCCTGCATCGTAAACCAGGTACCGCAAGGGGCTACCAATCACGCAAGTGGGAAGGCGCCTGTTTACCTCACTTTATCATGGTCACACCGCAAGAGGCAAGAAGCGAAGATATCATTCGACGCAAAATCTTGGAGAAAGTGGCAACATTTACGAAGCACTCTTTCTTCGCTCGTCAAGACGAGTCTGATGGCTCCGAGACCACTGAACCTGAAGTGATTGGGCCCAATGGCTCTGATACAGCATCTTCTGTTGGCGGGAAAGTTGCTGCTCAATCTGTTGGGAGCGAAGATGACATTGTCGACGTTCAAATGAAAGAAACGTCAGATAAGAACATCAATGCTGAAAGGTATGTATGAACAACACGAACCCCTTTTGAAAAGATGTTAACCCCACTTCATAGTCATTCATCACCTACGCAGATCAAGAATGGAAGACCAGCCTGGGTAAATCCTAAAAGCTTTCTCCCACCTCAGTTTCAGAATCTCTTCGAGATAGGAATCTTCGCAGAAATGTCGAGTGTCATTCCTACGGGCAATAACAGCGTCGGGGAAGATAGAGAATTTCCGCGGCTCTCATCTCGGATTCCTCCAGAATCCCCCTCTTCAGATGATCAATTAGACGATGCAACGAACGGCTCCGCTTCGAATGACGACAGTAGTTCTGATGAAGCGCCTCGAAATAGTATTGACCATTCTATAACACGCATGAATGAAGAGAGTGAAGACGAGGATAATGGTCCTCCAGTGAAGGTATGTACACCTAAGATACCTCAGCTTTCGCAGACAGAAGAACCGTCTTGATGATTTTTGGCGGACATCTACTAACAGATCATAAGTCATTTGCTCATCGGCCCAAAAATAATCGCCCCACAAAGGGCAACACCAAGCCTCCCAATGGCCGCAAGAATTCGAAACCGGGGCGACAATATGGTAGCAAAGGCGCCAAAAGGCGTTTACGTCAACAGCAGCGTCAGCAGCAAGACAAACAGACTGCTATTCAATACCAGGATGCTGGTGAGATGAGCGATCCCGTCCCCGACGGTGGCCCTCTCATCAGACTAAGAGAAGGTCTCGTTGTTGATTGGTCGGAAACTGCCTATGAAGAAATCTTCGGTAGTGACAGCTCATTGGAAACATGGGAGGCTTGCGACATCTTGTCCGACCCGGAGCTCGAGAAAATGCAAGAGGCACGTGCCAAGCGTCGGAAGCATGGTCTTACGCTCGATGAATGTCTAGATGAGTTTGAGCGAGATGAAATCCTTTCCGAACAGGATATGTGGTATTGCCCTCGCTGCAAGGAGCATCGCCGCGCTAGTAAAAAACTTGATCTTTGGAAGACTCCAGATATCCTCATCATTCATCTGAAACGTTTCAGCTCTAGCGGGTTCCGAAGAGACAAATTAGAAACCCTGGTCGATTTCCCCACAGAGAACTTAGATATTACATCACGTGTACTACAAACAGAAGAGGGAAAGCAGGAAAATTACGATCTGATTGGAGTCGACTGCCATTATGGTGGATTGGGCGGCGGGCACTATACGGCTTATGCTAAAAGCTTCGTGGATGGACAATGGTATTCTTATAACGGTGAGCTGCTTCGTCAACAGTCCTGATATCTTGCGCTAACATTTCTTAGATTCATCAGTTTCCAAGACCTCGACTGACCGCATTGTCGACTCCTCGGCGTATATGCTCTTTTACCGCCGACGATCTGATGTTCCTTTGGGGGGATCTCGGTTGCATGCAATCTTGGAGCGTTTCACTGAGGAAGATGATGATGAGATGTCAGGGTTGGGGGAAGGTCGGCGTCTCGGCGAAGGCTTCTCCCAGAATGGGTCGTCGAGCGCGTTACAAGGAGCAGGAGTTTCTCACCCGCCCGGAAATCATGGTGGTAACTCTAACCTGAGCTCACGTTCGATCATGTCTTCATACGCAGAAGATGACAAGGGTGATGATGACATGCCACTCCTTGCCAGTTCACGTTTCCAGTCTGGACATGACATTGCTGAAGACGAAGGAATTGAGTTGGAAGACTCCGATCAAAGGACACAACCATTTAGTGTAAACACTTGGAGTTTCAAGAATCTTCCAGACATGGCTGATGACAGTCCATTTGGGTCAGGCGCTGCTTCCGACGAAGCCCAACACGACTCCTCTGGCGATGAGCGAGCATTGAGTCCTCAGGATGACATTGATTCCACCTTTCCAGGGATGTCGGAGTACAAACTATCACAGCCTGGGGACGATTCGGAGTACGTAAGTCATTCGACACCTAATTATGTGGGCCAGACTTCCATCGGTGTCAAGGACCGGATTACACACGAAGTCCATGAGGTCATGCCAAACAGTGAACAAGAGCTACAATCAGATGAAGCAACTGAGATACACTTGGACGACGATGATAAGATCAAGGTCCCTTAGGTGGATGTGGTCTACATGTCAGAGATGCGCGGCCGAGCCGTGCAATGCCCTCGCCATGGCATAAACTTGCTTATTTGATGCCCTTTGAAAAGAATCGGGGAACGATAAACAGCGAGATGTTTGGGCTTTTGAATGGGGAAGATAACCCTTTTGCTCTTTTACAGCGTAGTCTACTAAGAGCAGGCATTGATGCCACCTTACCTCCTACATACATTACACATAGATTTTCCCCATGTGGCGGCACCGCATGAACAGCCTACAACTGCACATATTTGAGGCAAAATATATTCATATACATAGAAGGCGCAGAAAGAAAGAAGAAAACGAGATGATGATGACTACTGGGTTTCATCTGGTGATTCGTCAAGATTGGGTTTGGGATGGCTTGGCTTGGGTTCAATTGGGTTGTCTGTCTGTCATGTACGCTGATAGATGGGGCAGACAGATGAGACGAGACGAGACAGACGACAGCATAAAAACTTTGATGATATTACATATGTATCTGGCTTGGTTTGGTTTGGTTTGGTGCATTTGCATACATTCCCAGTTCTAGGTCACAAAAATGGATTTTGTTTTGTGGCTGGGGTCTTTGGTGTACATATTACGAATTTGAGTTGGCTTGAGTTTGTGCGTGTTTGTTTGTGGAGTTATTTATTTATTGGTTTGTTTGTTATGCATGATAGAAGGGGAGAGAGAGGGAATAAATGAAGCGAGGAAGGAAGGAAAGAATGAAAGAAAGAAAGATATACATTGTTGGTGAAGGCGTGGTATGAACACAAACATGAACATATGATTACGAGGCGAGATGGGCTTTTATGACTGAGTTGTGGCTTACGTTTTGATTTTAGGGGATTGAGGGTCGTGTGAGGGGATACATGTGAGAAGATGAAATGAAATGTATGAAATATGAGACGACAGAAATGAAAATAAAATGAAATGAAATGAAATATGAGATGTGGTGAGATGAAATGAGACCAAGTTTGCTGTTATATAATTGTGAGACATATCTTTTATACCTGCTTATTGAACAGAGCTCGTGTTACACGTGTAACCTCTGTACTAAGCTGAATATGCAGTTCGCCTTGCGCTTCGGCCGTACGAAGGACCTTTGCAGTCTATTCGTAATCATTCAAGACATGCAGGCAATATTGGGCAATATTGGAAAGCGAGGTTATACAGACTTCGCTTCTTGAAACAGACCCCAGAGACCTGGGCTGGCAGACCAGTTGTATATAGAGTCAAGTCAAGCCACCAATAGCCAAGTAGGAGTTGGTTGGTCAAGGACTTATGCAGCCCTAGTTGATCATTGTAATCTGAATTCTCAGTTCCAAGCCCAGTATCTACTACCCTTGTTATAGCACTGTTATTTTAAATTGTTAAGGGTTTAATGAATAGAGAAAAAGGTCCGATTGTGAGGACTTCAACCATGGGGTAATTATTTTATGTTTATTACCTTTTCCGTTTCAAGTTTTTACATTTATAATGAGTTATAAGCGATGGCCTAATATTTAAGAACAGTTTTAATAATATTTAAATATAATAAGATCACTTTAATTATAGAAGATAATTATTTAAACTTAGGGAAAGGCTTATGTATTTATTTTGAATGAAAGCTGGTAAAGAATTATAAAGGAAGCTGTAGCTTAGTGTAACTAGCGCGTAATACAGGTTGTCAGGACCGAGTATGCTCTAGCTAATGACTTATATTATTGCGCAAGGGTCCCTTCAATATTCTTGCAGACAAAGCTGGAGCTATATGCAGAAAGGGTTTCTTTATTGCCTTACAGCCTTGTAGATGCCTTATAGCCCTGTGACACAAGTTTATATTGATCTTCGAGAGGTATGCAGTCAGTATAGAAAGTAAAGTTATATAGACTTCGCTTCATGGAACAGATCAGCAAGACCTACGCGATCCGGACTGGCAGTCCAGTTGTATATGGAGTCTAAGCCAGCCGTCAATGCTAAGAAGGAGTTGGGTGGCCAAGGACTTTTGCAGCCCTAGTTGCTCATTGTAATCTGAATAGCATCAAGTTCCAAGCCCAGTTATCTGCCCTTGGTATAGTAGCAATGCACCATAGACTAGGAGTCCGGAAGAGTATGAGCGATTGCGAAGATCATGTATTGATAGAAGATTTCCAAGGCCAGGCTTACAGATTGTAACTTAGACTTTAAGTCTATTTAATATACCCAACCAATCGTACCTAATGAAGCTACTAGTTTACCTCATACAACTTCACGCCTCTATGAGATATGGTCTCAACTTTTATATAATCTCAATATATAGAATATTTCAGCTCGTCCTTACGAGAAACTGAGGACGACAAGTGGTAGTGAGGATATATAGTCCGCTTGATTGATCTCATGATCCGCAGGAAGCCAAATAGCCTAGATCGTGTGATTTCTATTCATTCTTGTCAAGTTATAGTTGAACCTCTTTGTTAACAAGTAAGGACTTAATGAATTATTTAATATATGACAGAGGTACTGGTAGGTTTAAGTTTCCACGCTACAATATCGAGCATTTGGAATATATATTAGTTTAGGGTATATAGTTATTCAAAGGTAGGCAGAACCACAAAGCTCACATGTTTGCTATGGCCTAGTTTCACAAAGCACTAGATGATTTAGGTACAGCTGGTATGTTTTATATCATGATAAGCTTGTTCACATCAGATGCCAATATATATACGCAGATATGCGCAATCAAACCTACCCCAGTTCAGTATTCTTTGCAAGATAGCCTTAGCCACAGGGAAGATCTCGCTTTACTGTAGTAAGTTACTTGCCCTGAAAAGCTTCCATAGCGAGGCCTCTGAAGCCTTGCCTATTATCGTGTGTACTTGGGAGTAAAGGGTGGGCCGGAGGGGAGCTCTGTAAATATGTGTTTCTATTCGAAATTGGAGAGGAAGAAGAGGGGGATAAGTACATACCAGTATGAGACTTCATTCAACACCTTCGCTCTAATATTCTAAACAGTCTACACTGGCAACCTAAGACATACAGCACGATAAACGCACAAAGACAACCCAGGTAGTCTTGAGAGAGCATTCTAGTGGCCTCCTCGCCACCGGACAGGCGAAATATACAGATAAGTATATGCAAGTATACACTGCGTTTCTTTCTTTCCATACCACTCACACTCAGCATGAATGCTACTTATGCATTTCGTATAGCCGCGCCAACCAGATACACAGCCATGCTAGTGCGCATGGTTTCAAGATCCAGTTTAAGGCATGGTATACCACGCTACGGCACGCCAGTAGGATCCAAAGTGCTTATCTACGACGATCTGGGCCCGGGGAAACGGGAACATACCTATCCCATCCCATCCCGTTCCCTTTTTTTCCCTCAAAGAGCGGAACGAAGTCCGATGAGTAGTGTACGGTATCTGAACATACATACGCCTATCTACGTGTTTCAACTCTAGACCAGGTCCAACCCGGGGAAATGTTTGTCTTGTCTTAGTGTAGTAGTATTATACTTCTTCCCGCGCGCGGTACGATGATGAATCACTATCTCACTATCGTTACTAACACGACCCGGCCGGTTGATATCTCCTTTGCTGGGGTTTCCATACCACGGGCGCGCCGTGCTAGTGTGATAATGTGATAGCGTTGTGATAGCGTGATGGAGACATAGCGTATACCTACCAGCCTTTTCATGCATGATGGACCCGAACGGCTGGATATATATATATGTGTGTATGTGTGTAGTACGTATGAATGTGATAAGACGGGGATTTGCTTACGAGTGCTTTACCTAGCTGTTAGTCAGATCTGGGGATGATGGCTGGGAGAGGTGGGGGAGGTTCACCTAACCTACGCACGCATAGAGTACATGTATATGCTACGTGTAAGAGTCTATTATCTCTAGTGTGAAGTCGCGATGGTTTCATACTAGTTCTAGACCTTGAAAGGACATGGAACGTTTGGTCATTTGTAGTACAGACATCACGGACTAGATCTTCTTGAGTGACCAGGTTACCGGGAGATAGCTAGCTGGTGTACCGGTAGGGTGTCTGTCTGTCCATCGGAAGAAGCTAGAGGGTAGGTAACTCGAGAACAAGAGTTCCATATATAGTAGGGTATCGGCCGCGGCGGTCCGGAGAAGTCAGTCGTCCGAGGATGAGTACTTAGAAAAGAAATCTTGCTAGTAGGGTCAACCAACATCTACATACATTATACAAATATGTAAGTATGTGATAATTGGTCGACAACCAACAACTTTAGTCGCGTGACCATGTGTTGTGTTGTTCTGTGGCTTTGCCGTGTGTCTCTCCAATGGCATGGCTGCCGCTAGAATGGTTCTAGAAGCATTGTGCCAAGGAAGATATAGACGAACTTTTTTCTTACTTACATATACATGCACATGGCTAGCTATGCATAGACTATAGTAAGAACTAAGAGCGCAGCTGTGTATGGTATTGCATGAGCCATGATTCAAGCGCAAAGGCTAGAAACGCGGTCTGCTTCCTGGCGTAGAAAGCTTCGTCGTCGTTAGCTGGCGGCGTAGCCTGCTTAGCCTTGTGACCGATGCTAGGTACTGTACAGTATGCCATGTGTTTCGCGATGGACGAGGCACATCTTGGCCGATGGCTGTTGTGGCGTTTCGGTGAGGCTGCACGTAGCTGCTTGCGCCAGCTACTATAGGTAGGTATGTCATGTATGTGAGCCAGCTTTGGCCGATCTTTACTGAAAGTGCTTGGTATGTCCGTCATCTTGCTTATCGACGAGGGCGACCGGTGTCCTGGGTGGGATTTTCCTTTGAGCGGAAAATGAGGTTTATCTCTGACTTATGACTTGCACTTGCAGTCACTAAAGATACATGAGGATCGTGACTACATAGGTAGCCAACCGAATTCGCATACGTAAGTACTTATACGTTAGTAGTCTACTCGGTCTACTTAAGTGAGATACAGACTTGGGAATCTTGCCCCATTTGCAGATAAAGAACCACTTACGGGAACATGAAACTCTAGCTTCTGCCCTAGCATATCATATTAGCTTCTCTGGGACATGTAATCCGATAGCGCACATATATATGTACTGTATGTAGGAATATCACTAGCCAAGCTTCGAAGCGGAGGGAGGACCCGCAGATGATATCGCGCAAACGA